ACGAGAATGACAATCACCGTTTAGGTTCAGCCCTGCCTTCCTTCTGCTGCTCCTCTCCCTGCCTCCCTCCCTGCCTTCCTGCCTTACTTCGGCCTCGGTGCCCCAGCAGAGCTGTCATCTCACTGCTGTTCTGCGAGTTGCGTGCGGGCCTTTGCTGACTGGCTCACTGCTCCATCAGCGTCGGAATCCAAAACATCCTTCTGCTGCTCCTCTCTGGGTGAGTCCCCGCCGTCCGTAGAGTTTGGCTGAAGCCAGTCTCGAGCTCCTTGTTTGCCATCTGTCTTCGCCCATGGCCCTGCCAGGAGCTGCTGCTTGAGGAGGACGGCCGAGACTAATCTCCAGACAGCTAGCGCTTCAAGTGCCCGCATTAGCAGACTTCTGGGTTCCCGAGCACCGCGGTCCACCGAGTCCCACATTGGCGAACTCACGGGCCCCCGAGCATTGCAGCCCATGGGGTTCCATATTAGCGGTTCCACGGGCCCCCGAGCTCCACAGTCCACCGAGTCCCACATTAGAGGGTGTACGGGCTCTCAAACGCCACAGTCCACCCGCATCAGCGGATTACTGGTCTCTCACACACCACAGGCGTTTTAAGCACAACGTGCGGGCCGATTCACCCATGCACCCATGCACTCCAGGGATCCGGCCACGTGCCCCTATCCTCATTGCGCCCCGATTATTTGGGAGTGCCCTGGCTTCCGGGAATGGAACGAAGATCGCTGGGCGCAAGGAACACGTGGACCGGCTGATCGACCGCATCGAGAGCGTTTCGGCAAGATGAAGGGTGGCTACGACGACTTCACAAATTGCGGAGCACACCACCATATTTCCGACGGTACCGTGACGCTCGACCAGGACGAGTTCATCGACGCCCTGATGCCGATCTGAAACGTCGACCTGGCAAAGGCCACAGTTGACGAACCGGCCGGAGGTCAGCTTCCAGACCTCTTTGTTTCCCTCTTGACATTAACTGCTTACGCTCTGCTCACCCAGCGCCGCGTCTCAACGTGCATCGTTGCCCTGCAGAGAGCGAAAAACAAGCTTCACCCGCCACGTGGCGCAGCTCTATTCCGTCGTTCTGGCCACCCAGAGTGCCAAGGCGCGCATCTCATTCCCAGCCATGGAATGCGCCTGGCGACTCTGCGTGCGCAGCGACGGGTCATTCAAGGTTGAAGAGGAGACATGACTTGGCAGGAGAGGCGGCGTAGACATGCGTTTGGGCAAGTGCCGCCGCACTGACAAACAGGCGTGCCACTTGCTGGACGCCATTCGCATATCCCACAAGCTGATGTGCAGTGTGCAGATCATCGTTCGGCTCAGAGTTGCTAGCAGCATGCGGAGCAGCAGGAGGCTTGCAGGCGCACCTCCTCGCGCTGCACGAGATGGTGCACGGCCCCGCCTCAGCTGAAGGGACCGGGAGGCTGAGGGGGAAGGGGGATGTGCAACGCCTGCAGAGTTAGTTGTAGGCGGCACGTCCGTCTTCAAAGCCTTTGCCATGGATCCTTTTCGGCGGCCTTTTCGAGAACAGCATGGGTGGTCCCTTTCGGCAGTTGTCTGGGCAGCTCCGTCCCAAGCAGATCGAGGACATGCTCTGGCGCGACACTCAGGACATGTGGGCCGACCCCATGACTGAGGGCAGCATAAGCCCGGAACTGACCCTGAACATCAGGGCCGGTTAAGTCAGCTACGGAGACAACATTTTCAAATTGAGCGACGAGAGCAACAAGAACACCGTCCCGCGTTTTCAGCATTGCAGTTTCACTGAGATGAAGGACGACCAGGGCGACTAAGCCATCGGATCGCCAAGTGTCGTGGGAGACGACAGTCAGGGACACTATGAAAGTTGAGTTACGCGTGAGTGGTGCCCCTGCCGGCTGTGTTGGCAGAGCAGCAGCATCCATGAGGCATCGCTCCACCAGCTCTGCCGTGCAACTGTTGATCAGATGGCGGTCAGTCGAGCCGTTTGTGTTTCCGTACGGTTGGTCCGGTGCGCAGAGTAGAGCACCCTGCCGAAACCAATTTTCCTGTTTCGGGGGTTTCTGTGGTGTTTGCGCACGGTGATCGACGAGGCACACATGTTTCGCTTGAACACCGGACTCGCACGGTCATCTCTCCTTTTCGCCTCTGCCTTGTCTGGCCTGCCGCAGCGTTCCACTTGGCGTTTAGCTCAAGGAGCGTTCTTGGCGCGCCCGTCTTGCATTCGCTGTCATTCATTCGCCTTTTGCAGCAAAAGCGTGTGCTCTGTTTGCAGTCCACCTCTTAAACCCATTTCTCTGGTGCCCCCTCCCTCCATGCTGTCCTCCCCCTTGTCCCGGTCCCCGGCCCTCGCCCTTCCCCTTTTCGTCCTCGTCGTCGCCCTCGCTTCACTATTGGCGTCGCCCTCCGCTGGCGGATTCGGGAGGAGGACGTCGGATATGGGGAAGAGTACGAGGAGGGCACGGATGACGGGGCGCTGCCCAGGACGAGATGAGAAGATGAGGACCAGGAAGAGGAGGAGGAGGAAGAGGGGGAGGACAACGAAATGAAATAAAAGGGATCGGAAGCGGAGGAAACCGGGGTGTTCGAGTCCCCTGGGGCATAAACCCGGTTGGGGCGAGGACGGTTCGACCGTCATGAGTGTCGGCATCGAGGATCGTGGCGCTCTTCTGCTGCCTCGCGGTCATGGCTGGGCGCGGTCCGAGCAACAGGCAAAGGGCGAATCCTGGGAGGGCTGCCGGGGCCCGCTTCCAACGCATTTCTGCAAGGTGCCAGGCGAAAGGGGGCACCTCCCACTGAGGATACATTTTTTTAGTTTTTGGGGAAACAAGCGAAAGGAAGCGTTGACTTGCCGATCGCAGTCACGCCCGATGCGTTGCGACCGAGGCCCCAACGATGGCCAGCGCCACTAAGCTTTGTATGTGGCCCGGGATCTTCCCGCAGCCGCGGCTAGGTTTGCTGCAGCTGCTGCGGCGACCAGGGGGCCAGCGTCTGCTCAGGGTTCCTGGAACGCCATGGATGCGGAGTGCCTCCACCGCGGGAAGAAGATCCCGGTCTCGGTGATGGTGGTGATATTTGGGCTTCCAGGGTGACCGAACTACTACCACCAACACCAAAATCTAGGATCATCTTCTCCCTGTGGAGGCAAACCCTCTGTGTTGGTGTTGGTGCCGATTTCCAGGCCTCCAATTGGCGGCGCTGGAGGCGCCGCCCAGGGGACGTAGCGCCGATCCGAGGAATCCGCGCGGGCCTCCGCCTTTTGGTGTTTGGAAGAGCCATCGAACAGGGCAGTCCTGCCCTGTTCGATGCTTTCCCGGGGTGCTATTGATATGCAACGGCTGGGCTTGTCGGGGTGTCTTTGCTGCCCCCTAAGGGTGGGACAGTGACGTCATTGCGTGATATTCGGCCGGGTCTGTTTTGTGGAGGTTATGCGGCCATCGTACAACCATGACAGTGGAGACCGTCGTAGAGGAAGAAATGCGGCTGGCGTTGGCAGGCTCCCGCGTGTGATGTGGCGCCTGCGGCCCGCTTGTCACACGCTATCCCCCCACGCCTCGGCGATATCGTGCTCCAAGGGACCACGGAGGGGAACAGCGTGCACTGAAGAAGCCCTGGCAGGGGGATCACCGCACAGGGAGAGCGTGATCTTCGGACGTCGGTATTGACCGCTATCTTTCGAGCGCCAACCGCAGGATGGGTGCAGAGGAAGAGCTCTGGAGTCCGCTGCAGCACCAGTCTTCTTGGGCGGTTCGCTGCGCCAGGAGCGGCAAGACGCATCGAGGGAGCAGTGCTCGGCGGTGGAGCCGACCCCCGTTGGTGTTCGTTCCCCCCTTTCCCCCTTGTGCCCACGCTCCCGTTCGGACCTTCGGCGGCGAGCGAAGGGGGGGAAGTGAGAAGGAGAAGGGCTTCTCAGAAGGCGGCGGGACTTCTCAGAAGTCCTTGCGGCTTCTGAGAAGTTTTTTTGCGTCTTCGGGGAAGGCTTAGAAAACTTCTCAGAAGGCTGGGGGACTTCCGGCTGGGGGACTTCCGCCCCTTCTCACTTCCCCCCCTCGCTCGCCGCCTAGACCTCCCCGCAGCAGGAGGTAGTGTTCAAAGATTGCCCAAGAGGACCCCACGGGGGCCCACGAGGCATCCACAAAACGGCCCCGAGGCGGTCCAAGGGAGCCTCCCGTGGGACCTAGGCAAGACGGCCTTCGGAAGGCCCTGCGGCTTCCCAAGACGGCGCCAAGACAGCCCCACGACCTGGTGGTGGGGGGAGCGGCCGGGGCGCGAACCCAGCGCCTGCTGTGATGGTCTGGGCGAACGAAATGGGTACGGAGAGAATGGGCACAATGCCCAACAGCAGTTCCTGTTCATTTTGAACAGGACTCGCTGTCGGTGTCGCCGCGGCCTGTCTCCCTTTGAGACAGAAGGCCGCCTGCCCAACAGCGGCCGCTGTTGGTTTGGGGCAACATTTGTTGTTGGGCATTGTACCCTTCTTTTCCGTACCCATCTCGGGCGTCCAAAGATGATGGTCGTCGGCGAGCCCAGGGGCGAGTGAGAGGGGGTGGGCCTTCTCAGAAGGCGGCGGGGCTCCTCAGAGGCCGAGTCTGTCTTCGGAGCAGGCTGAGAGCACTTCTCAGAAGGCCCGAGGCCTTCCGAGCCTTCCGCGAGGGCCCGGCCCCTCTCGCTGTCCCCCTTGTGGCTCGCCGCGAAGGTGGGGCGGTGGGGTGGCACTGCCAGCGGGAAGCGTGCAGTCGAGACTGATCAGCAGGTCGACCCTGCCGAATCGAGGGCACCCTTGTGTCCTGAGCTCTGCGACCCATGGCCTGGCCTTCGTACGTTCCTATAGCACTCTGGCCCTCGGAAGGGTCTTGTGCCCTCTCGCGTGCCCTCTCCAATCAACCCCGACTGTACTCCTCCTCCTCCTCCTCCTCCTCCTCCTCCTCCTCCTCCTCCCTCCTCCTCCTCCTCCTCCTCCTCCTCCACTTCTCATCCCCTCCTCCTCCTCCTCCTCCTCCTCCTCCTCCTCCTCCTCCTCCCTCCTCCTCCCTCCTCCTCCTCCTCCTCCTCTCCTCCTCCTCCCTCCTTCTCTCCTCCTCCTCCTCCTCCTCCTCCTCCTCCTCCTCCTCCTCCTCCTCCTCCTCCAGCCTCCGCGCGGCTCCGCCTGCCGCTCCTCCCGCGGCAGCGGGACGAGGGACCCCGGACAGCCTCGCACCGTGTGGATCTCCTCCTGGTGGGCTCGGGGCGTGGCCACGAGGACAGCGGAGCAGTCCCTCGGGAGTGTACCTTGGGAGGCGCCTCGTGGGGGGGCGATCTGGCGGGGAAGAATGGTGCATTCTTCGGGCCCCAGAGGCCCCCTTTTGGGCCCTGAAGGGTCCCTTTTCTGCAGCCCTCGCCGCCCCCCCAATTATCGCTCCCCCATAACGCGATGCACAAATACCAGGGAACGCTCCTTCGCATATCAGATCATGTTGTAGGGAAGCCGTGGCAGGGAGGTCTGAAGCCAGGCCCCGTGGAGCGGGGGGGAATCATGAGAATAAGAGGAAGAGGGTAAGAACGATGACAGCCAGTGGAGAAGAGGTGGAGGGAGGAGGAGGATGAGTTTGGTAGGAGGGGGAGGAGCAAGACGAACCACTACACAGGATTTCCTTGTCCTCACAGTGCACTGTGCTGATTGGAACACTCTACACTGCGCGAGCTGGATCACCTCGCCTCCACTGCTCTGGAATGCTCCGCCTTGCTCTGCTCTGCCTCGCCATGGGCTGCTCTGACTCGAGCTGCCACGCGCGCATCCCCGGAGGCCGCCGGGGGGGCGCCTTTGGGCCGCCGAGGGGCCACCGAGGGGCCGCCGACGTTGCTGGGCCGAGGGCCGCCGACGGCGCTTCGGCGCCCCCGGTGGGAGGCGGGCGTGCTGGGCAACGTGGTCACGTGCGCCCCGCTCTCTTGGACGCGGCGCCCGCGCGGGCGCGGCGCAGCCCGAGCCCCCAGCCGCGGGCGTGCGCCGCGGGAAGGCTGGCGGCGAAAGCCGCAAATATATTGTTGTGTCTGTATCTATATATATATATATGTATATATATATATAGTTCGATAGATAGATCACCCTCTGGGCCATAACGTTCGTTGTGCCTCCCACCCTCCCCCGCCCCTCGTCCCCCCTCCATAACGTAGCGCTCCCCCCCCTTCGGTGCGTCACCGGCACTGCCGCAGTGCGTCCCGCGGGGCGCGCTAGCTCAAGCCCCCTCCCGTCCCCCCTTTGCTTCCCCTCTCACAACTCCCGTGATGGGCGCGAATGGACAACGCTCCCAGGGGCGGCGGGGGCAGGGTCCAGAGTCGGTTGAGCGCGTGGCGAGCGCCGAGCCCCATCCCCGCTTCCCACGGGCGTCGCAGAAGCGATGGTCGATGGGGGGCCGTAGAAGACGTCGGTGTATAGAGTCCTGTCCCTTCCTGAAGGGGTGGGCGCGGGAAGGCTGTCGGTCAGGGGCAGCGGCAGGGGAGGGGAAGGGGGATCGGTCAGTCGGAGAGTTTCTGGGCTCGGCTCGCGGGCGGCCACGAGGCGCGAGGATCGAGGGGGGGCCCAGCTCGCCGACGACCTGAGGGTTTTCGTCCGGGCGTGCTTCGTTGACTTCGGCTTCCTGGGTCCATGAGAGAGGGGTACGGGGCAGGCCAGCCACAGCTGGGGGAGCTGTGGTCCTGACCCCCCCGGGGGACCCATCGATTTCGACACCCCTCTCGAGAGATCGTCGACGCGATGGGTTCTCCCAGAGGGGATAAGGACCACAGCTCCCGCAGTTATGGCTGGCCGGCGGGGCGAAAGTTGGCCCCTGGGTTGGGGTCGGGACCGTTCCTCTGGGGCCGCGGCTCGAAGACATCACACCGCGAGATGCCCGGGGTGGGGGGAGAATGATAAAACAGGGCTAGGATCGGGATAAATCGCTCCAGAGCGTTCCGGAGCGCTCTCAGAGCGTTCCGGAACGCTCTGGAGCGTCCGCGGGACCCAATACATCCTCCAAACCCGCCGATTCTCAGAGATTTCGAGTTATCCCGATCCGATTGTGTCCCGATCTTCGCGTCGTTTTAGATGAGGAGGGACGGAGGATGAGGAAGACGAGGGGCAGAAGGAGGGGAGCAGGGCCACGGGCCCGCGGGCCACCGCGTCACAACCGATTGGCCACCACAGCTGGGGGGCGACCGGGATCAGGAGACCGCCGCTCCGCGAGCCAGGCCCGGCCAAGAAACCACTTGGATTTCGCCAGGGTGCCCTGGGTTTCTTGGGTTTCGATGGGTTCCCAGGAGAAACCTGTAGACGTTCGACTGAAAACCTTGGACTTTGAACGAAAAACCGCGGACTTCAGGGTTGGGTTTCTTGCGGAGGTTTCTTGTGGCCGAGCCCTGTAAGCATCCTTGTCTGTGGTTGTACGGATGCCTTGGTCACCGACGCCCACGACCTCTATGTCGCACATCAGCCCCGGCATCCGCCAAGAAGGCCTGCGCACGGTAGACCACCTGAGGACATCCTAGCACGATGCCCAACCAGGCGATTATCAGGCGGAGATCCAGCTCAACGGGTTTGCACTGCGCATCCCCACCAACACCATCATCCTTTTTCCGCAATGGCGCTCAGTGTTTTGTAAGACGCGAGCGTCCAAGACGTGAGCAAACTACCCCAGCGTACCAAAGACAACCAACAGGGTAATCACAACCCATCCAACCCACCGGGCGCCCAACCAGGCCCAGCCCCTACCACCGATCAACCCACCACCAGCCTTCCTCCACCGGACCACCGACCTGGGACGCACGCGCGCTGGCTGAAGCCTCCCGACGCTCTGGGGTGCCCGTAAGCCAGCAGTGGTGCACAACCATCGTCTACCATTACCAAAGCCATGGGTCGCCTACACATGCCAGGGCAACGACTTCGTCCGGCCCCACCAGGTCTACTACTTCAACCTGGACTCCAGAGAAACCACGTGGGCAGACCCAGACAAAGCGCTCCTTCACCCAGGGTGAGAGAGAGCTCCATCAGGCGACAGTGTTGACTGTTGCTACGGCATCAACCACGACACCATCCATCGCAATCCCTTCCAGCTCGGCCCTGAACAGTCGACGCAAGCTTTCTCGACCCGTCACCACGTGGCACCGCGACGAGAGCGAGTCCAGGGTCAGCGTCGACCTCCTCGATGCAGTGCCTGATTCAATGAGCGACTGCGAGGCGATCGACCTGGGGCGCTCCGACACCGACGGCGGCTGCCTCGCGCAGCTACTCTTCCCCAGCTGGGACGACATATTCGGCGCCCAGCAGGGGGTACCCATGATCATCGCAGAGATCCACGCAGCGCAGCTATGAACCACCACGACTGACCGCAATCGCGGCCGCGCTCCAAGGAACGGGCAGCAAACTCTTACAGTGACCGCGCTACTACCCAACCTCTTTGATCGCCCCGACCGCGGAAGGCACGGCATCCTCCAGCCACGAGGGGGCTGGCAGCATGAACGACGTCCGAGCTCATCTTCACAACCGCGAAGCACCTGCTTCGGCAACAGTGGCGACCCAAGCGAAACCGACGCATGCAGCGAATCCCCGGCCGCGCTACAAGGCTCCGCTAGCCATGCTCACGCCAACGTCCATCGTGCCTCTGGCCGCAGCAGGCGACGCATCCGGCAGCGAGGACGAATCAGCGAGCGCGCCGCAGCCGCGTCAGGAGTCACCATCCAAGCCGCCCCCGAAAACCTTGATGAACTACGGGGGCAACCAGAGGAGCGCAACGTGCCGCAATTCGCCATGCGCGGGCGCTGCGATCGCGAAGGCCAGCAACGACACCACGCGGGGCCCGGGCACCGCCATCGAGCCCGCGAGCCGACCCCGAGGCCCACCGCCGCCAGGCGTGAAAGCTGGAGTGGGCAGCAGGGAACGCTCCCGCGGCGTCGAGCGCCTGACCACCGCCACTCGCAGCGACCAAATAGACCGCGAGAGCGCGATGTGCAGTATACACGCCCAAGACGCTATCGCTTTGCACTTCGGTCAGATGTTCGACGCAGGCAAGACTAACAGGAGCGCGGGAACGGCCCCGGACCTCCGCGTCGAATGCCACCAGGTCATGGCACACGCGGAAGGGGCCCTCAATTGCTACTGCGAGTCCGATAAGCTGCTTGAGGCCGCCCTTTCCACGTGGCCCAGCGACGCAGGAACTTTGCTAAGTACGCCAACCACCAGCCGCCCACAAGCTCAATTTCCCGAAGCACCACGGTCACGACGACATCCCCGATCCAGCAGAACTGGTACATCAGAAGAGATACATCTTCATGAACATCGAGGTGGTCACGCGACGCAACCCTACATCTGCGCGATGCCGTTCCTTGTCGCGAGTTTCCACCGGGAAACCGCAGCCGAGGCAGTGGTCAAGATGGCCGAGCTGATTAAAAACCTCGGCTAAATTTGCAGCCGACTCCAGACCCCCCCCATCGTCTGCGGCCTGCCGCAGCCTGGCGACGAGGACGTCGCGACCGCGCCGCGCCGCGATCAACGACTGTCCAGCCCGAGCCGTTTCTTGACGGTCCCGCTGCCCAGCAGGGGCCCCGGAGGGAGAAAGTGGGCAACATCCCACGGCCTCTTTCACGGGTTCAGTGAAAGGGGAGAGGCCGCCCGAGGATCGCGAGTGGTTCCACCCCGGCCTCGCTGCTCTACAGTCGGGGCGCTGAAGAGGGAACCCTTTTCGCTGGGGAGGGGCTCGGTGCTCCTTGACTGTTTTACAGTTCGCTTTGGGTCTGCCAGGGGGTCATCGAAGTTTCACTTGTGGGAGTGAGGGGCCTCGTTCCTTATCTTCCTCAGGACAGCGCCCCAACTGTAGGGACTTCGCACCCCCTGTTCTGACGAGGTTCCGAGGTCCCTGGGGGGCTCTTTGGAGAACCCCCCCCCCAAAAACCCCTTTTTGGAACCCTCCAGGAGGACGAGGAGGAGGAGGAGGAGGAGGAGGAAGAGGAGGAGGAGGGTTCCTTAGGTCAGCGCCCCGACTGTACGGCCACGTGCCGACCTTGGCTGCCCCTGCGGTCCCACGCGGCGCCGAGAGGCGTCGGGCCCCCCCGCTGGCGTGCACCCAGCCGTTTGCGCCAGCAGTCATGACCTGCGGGGGCAGGCTTCACACACGCGGGCGGGAGCAGGCGGTGCCGACCGCGTGGGCACTCGATGGTACCGCGCCGTTTTTGATACATGCTCCGCGTGCGGATCATGTATTAAACATGCAGGGGATGAGTACCAAAAACAACGCTGAGCTCATGCATACACCTATGGTGTATTCAAAATCCAATATTTTTTTAGAATCCTATGGATAGAACTGCCCTGTGCTGCGCCTCCCGCGCTGGGCCGCGCGGGAGCACCCCCTGCTCCACGCGGCGTGCCGCGCCGGCGGGCCGCGCGAGCCGCGGCGTCAGGGCGCGGTGTCTTCTGTCAGGAGGGGGAAAAAACATGCAGACACAATTCATCGTCGATTCCCAAGAAAATATGGAAAAATATGCGAAGTGGGGGGGGGAAGACAAAAACCCAGAAAAGATGGGAAAACATGGGGACTAGAGTTTCTTTGTGTGTGTTTATTTGTGTGTCCTGGGCCCCATCAGATTCTTGCGCGCGAGGGTGATGTTCCAGCCCACGTCGGCCTCGGCCGCCAGAAGGAGTCTTGAGCATCAAGAGAGCACCCGTGGGTGGAAGGCGTGGCGCGTGTCTAGCCCCGGCAGGCCACGTCCGTTTCGGCACCTCGCCGGCGTGTCGGGCAGCCACCGTTTCGATACGTACAGCGCTGGGTGCCCGCAATTCCTTCTCGCACGCAGTCCTTGAGTACGACGGAAGCTCGGCCCGGGCGAAAGGGGGGGGATTGGGAAAGGGGGGGTTACGAAATCTGCTGCATGCAGCTAGTTTCGGCCTCACCGAGGGGCCCATTCCCTTCGCCGGAGAATCAGCTACGTGAGCTGATTCTCAACCCCCCCCTTTGCTATCCCCCCTTTTCGCCCGACCCGAGAAGCCACGCACGCATTTCTCGTTTAGACTTGAGTCCCTGAGTTTATGGAGTCCTCGAGCCCTTGGGGTTCCTTCCTGCACGCGTGTCCTGATCGTAAGGTCCTTCTCTGTTCGTCGCTCCCGTGGCTGCCCGCGAAGGGCGCCGCGCCTCCGGCCGCTCAGTCCGGCGAGGTCTTGACAAGAACCTGGGGCATTCGCGCGGCTTCGTCCAGATGTTCGACCTTTTCTTTGGTATCGCCAGGACCCTGGGTAAGGGGATCCGGTTAGTGGGAGGGCCCTGGGGCCCCTCAATTGGCCAGACTCACTAAGCCAGGTTTGCCGTAACTGGTGTTTTTCGGGTGACGGCAGTTCAGTGGAAATGTGACGGGGGGGCGCCCCCGGTACAAATCACTAAACCAGGTTCCACTAAACTCAGTTCTGCCAACGCCCGATTTTCATGGCGGCAACATCGCAGAGCGGATTTCGTTCGGACGGGCACACAGAGTCTTGCAGAATGTGGTTCCAGATCTCGAAGTGCTTTTTTCGTGCGCAGGTTGTTGGGGCCCAGGAGTGAAGACTGAAACAACAGTTCCACGCGAAATTCACTTTTTTTGCCCGCCGTGTCGGGGCCTCGCATTGACAGACGTCCACTCAAAAATCCTCTGCAACACGTCTGCAAGGTCGCTGCAGTGGACCTTTTTGTGGCTCGTATTTCAACCTCCCCGTCTTCATGTTCACGCTTTCCCAGGCTCTATCAGCCACGCGCAGAGGGGGGTGGGGGAGGGGGGAGGGCTTCTTGGAAGCACCCCTGCTTCTGAGAAGGCGCGGGCCTTATCTATTGATGCAAGGCCGGCGCCTTCTAAGAAGCAGCCTCCTTCTCGGAAGCCCTCCCCCCTCCCTACACCCCCTTGTGGGCGCCGCCAGTTCTAACTTTCGCTCCGTTGTTCCTGCAGTGCAGCAGGTCCCCCCCCCCGGGTGCAGGGGGTCGGCGCTTCCCCATTCGTGTCCGCTGGCCTCTACGCGGACTTTCTGAGTCCTTTCTCCAAGCAAAAGTGGTTGAGGGCTGCGAGGTCTTGAACCAGGCCTAGAATCTTCGAGCGACTTTGTCCCGATGTTCTCTTGCGGCTATCTGTTCTTCCTCTTCCCCTCCATGTTCAACTTCTTCCAGGTTCTAACGTCCGTTCAGTTGTTCCTGATGTGCAACTGGTTTCGGCCCCGCCGCCGGACCCCTTTCCTCGATGCATGGGCGCCTCCCGCCGCCCGGAGGCGCCGGGAAAAAGTCAGCTATACGCGACAGCCCGACAGTTCTAGTTTTCGCTCCGTTGTTCCTCTTGGCATCGCTCGGGCGTGTGCATCTTTTCTCGGCGAGAACTATCGAGGACCCTCCTGGACCATCGAGCGAAACAAGCACACGCGACACCGGAAAATGCACGGGAACTGGACGTCCGAGCGATGGCAGGTCCTGCGGTGCAGCCCCCCCCCCCCGGGGAAGGTACAACTGCCTGATCAACGCCTGCGCGCGCGCGGGGGACGGCCCGCGCGCGGAGGAGTGGCTGAGCAGGACGCGGCCGCTCGGCCTCCCGCTCCGGGTGCGGGCGCGACCACGCCGACGACGACGACGACGACGTCGACGACGCCGTCGACGACGACGACGACGACGAAGCCGACGACGTCGACGACGACGACGCCGACGACGGCGACGACGACGACGCCGACGAGGACGACGCTGACAACGGCGACGACGCCGACGAGGACGGCGTCGCCGGCGACGACGACGCTGACAACGACGACGTCGATGAGGGCTAGGCGGACCTCTTGGGCTCCCTGCACAGGGCCCCAGAGGCCTCAGGATTTGTCTTATCCCCACAACTGTCGAGCGATGCTGGTGATGAGCCGTCGTGAGACAGGGTGAGTCCTCTGACCACAGGCCTCGGGGGGCCTTCGGGGGCCTCACAGAGCCGACCACACGGATAAGCTAATTATGTGGATGAGCGACGGGTCCGGTCCCCACACGAAACCGGTTCGCTCCGTCGCCCAATGAGGCGGCGCTGGCTTCGCTTTTTGGGGGGCCTGGCGCGCGGAGCGCGCCAGGGGCGGCGCCGGAGGCGCCGCCAGCGGGGCTCAAGCGCCGGTCCGAGAAACCCGCGCGGACCTCCGAGTTTTCGTGTTCACTCCGAGGCGGGAATTTATCGATATCCACCGCCTGGAGGGTCAATTTTCGGAGCCTCGGCAGGCGGTGGGCATGGACATGTTCGGGCCCCCAGGGGCCGAAATAAATCCACATCCACCGCCCGCTGGGGCACCCAGGCGGTGGATCTGGACACATCCCCGCCCGGGACCCGACGCCCTGGTGCCCCAGCGGGCGGTGGACGTGGATGTACTTCGGCCCCCGGGGGCCCGGATGTGTCCACATCCACCGCTCGCCGAGACTCCGAAGCCGAGAAGAAGCAATTCCATAAATGGGACGCACAGAGACATACTTATACTATATGTCCTCCTTAGAGACGCTCGCCCATCCCGAACATGTATAGTATACCACTCTTGTAGTATATCGTTTCCCGAGCTGGGGTGACGCCGAATAAACTCGGAAGCCTGACCCTCCAGGCGGTGGTCAGGGATACATTCCCCCCTCCGCGCGGGGGCCCCGGGGCGCTGCTGCGCAGGGGGCGGCGCCGCCCTCGGCGCGGGCTGCCGCGCGCCCCCGCCCCCTCGGAGCGGCACGGCCGCGGCGGCGCCCCCCTGGGCCGGGGGGGCCTCCGTGCGCGGGCCGGCTCTGGCGCGCTCGGGGGCGGCCGGTCGCTGCGGTGGAGTCGCGCATGTCCACAGGAGGGATGCTCAAGGATGTGGTCCGAAAACTGGCTCACTGTTGACGAGGGAGTCTGAGCAGATTCGAGAATGTTCACGGGACGATCTGTATATTTGTTTGTTAGTTTTTTTCCCAACCATCCTGTGGTGTTGGGTCCTCGTTTTGAAGAGACGGCGCCCCGCGTTCCTCCTCCTTTCCTCTCCTCTCCTTCCTCCTCCTCTCTCCCCTCCTCCTTCCTCCCACCATCATCTTCACCTCTCACACGTTTCGTGGCCCCATACGGAGCTCCACCCAAGGTCCCAGTGGCGCAGCCCGCATGCGGTACGCGCCCAATTTTGGCACACCCCTCACACGTTTCGTGGCCCCATAGGGAGCTCCACCTATGGTCCCAGTGGCGCAGCCCGCATGCGGTACGCGCCCCATTTTGGCACACCCCTCACACGTTTCGTGGCCCCATAGGGAGCTCCACCTTAGGCCCAGTGGCGCAGCCCGCATGCGGTACGCGCCAAATTTTGGCACACCTCTCACACGTTTCGTGGCCCCATACGGAGCTCCACCCAAGGTCCCAGTGGCGCAGCCCGCATGCGGTACGCGCCCAATTTTGGCACACCCCTCACACGTTTCGTGGCCCCATAGGGAGCTCCACCTATGGTCCCAGTGGCGCAGCCCGCATGCGGTACGCGCCCAATTTTGGCACACCCCTCACACGTTTCGTGGCCCCATAGGGAGCTCCACCTTGGGTCCCAGTGGCGCAGCCCGCATGCGGTACGCGCCCAATTTTGGCACACCCCTCACACGTTTCGTGGCCCCATAGGGAGTTCCAACGTAGGCTCCAGTGGCGCAGCCCGCATGCGGTACGCGCCCAATTTTGGCACACCCCTCACACGTTTAGTGGCCCCATAGGGAGCTCCACCCAAGGTCCCAGTGGCCCAGCCCGCATGCGGTACGCGCCCAATTTTGGCACACCCCTTACACGTTTCGTGGCCCCATAGGGAGCTCCACCTTAGGCGCCAGTGGCGCAGCCCGCATGCGGTACGCGCCAAATTTTGGCACACCCCTCACACGTTTCGTGGCCCCATAGGGAGCTCCACCCAAGATCCCAGTGGCGCAGCCCGCATGCGGTACGCGCCCCATTTTGGCATACCCCTCACACGTTTCGTGGCCCCATAGGGAGCGCGGGCGAAGATGGTACTCACAATTGGGGTATTCACAACTGCATATGGTCGGGTCCTTCGTCAGGCTAATTTTCCCAACCATCCTGTGGTGTTGGGTCCTCGTTTTGAAGAGACAGCGCCCGCTCCCGCTCACGCTCCTCGTTCTCCTCCTCCTCCCTCCTCCCTCCTCCCACCATCATCATCGTCATCCTCCTCCATTTCGGCACACCCCTCACACGTTTCGTGGCCCCATAGGGAGCCCCACCGAAGGCCCCAGGCCCGCATTGTGCCGCCCGCACACCCAATTCGGCACACCCCTCACACGTTTCGTGGCCCCATGGGGAGCCCCACCGAAGGCCCAGTGCTGCCGCCCGCATGCGTCACCCACACTCCCCGGCACACCTCTCACATCGTGGCCCCATAGGGAGCTCCAACGTAGGCTCCAGTGCCCGCATGCGTCCCGCACACCCAATTCGGCACACCCCTCACACGTTTCGTGGCCCCATAGGGAGCCCCACCGAAGGCCCCAGTGCTGCCGCCCGCATGCGTCCCGCACACCCAATTCGGCACACCCCTCACACGTTTCGTGGCCCCATAGGGAGCCCACCGAAGGCCCCAGTGCTGCCGCCCGCATGCGTCCCGCACACCCAATTCGGCACACCCCTCACACGTTTCGTGGCCCCATAGGGAGCCCCACGAAGGCCCAGTGCTGCCGCCCGCATGCGTCCCGCACACCCAATTCGGCACACCCCTCACACGCTTCGTGGCCCCATGGCCCCATAGGGACAGCCCCATAGGGACCGAAGGCCCCAGTGCTGCCGCCCGCATGCGTCCCGCACACCCAATTCGGCACACCCCTCACACGTTTCGTGGCCCCATAGGGAGCCCCACCGAAGGCCCCAGTGCTGCCGCCCGCATGCGTCCCGCACACCCAATTCGGCACACCCCTCACACGTTTCGTGGCCCCATAGGGAGCCCCACCGAAGGCCCCAGTGCTGCCGCCCGCATGCGTCCCGCACACCCAATTCGGCACACCCCTCACACGTTTCGTGGCCCCATAGGAAGCCCCACCGAAGGCCCCAGTGCTGCCGCCCGCATGCGTCACGCACACCCAATTCGGCACACCCCTCACACGTTTCGTGGCCCCATAGGGAGCTCCACCGAAGGCCCCAGTGGCGGCGCTCACATGCGCATGCGTCCCGCGCACCCATTTCGGCACATCCCTGACAGGTTTCGTGGCCCCATCATCCACCGGAGGCCCCAGTGGCGGCGCTCACATGCGTCACCCACACCCACCCAATTCGGCACACCCCTCACACGTTTCGTGGCCCCATAGGGAGCTCCACCGAAGGCCCCAGCGGCCGCGCTCACATGCGTCCCCGCCACCCATCCCGGCACGCCCCTCACAACAACAGGTTTCGTGGCCCCATAGGGAGCTCCACCGAAGGCCCCAGTGGCGCCGCCCGCATGCGTCACCACCCGCACCCAATTCGGCACACCCCTCACACGTTTCGTGGCCCCATAGGGAGCTGCACCGAAGGCCCCAGTGGCGGCGCTCACATGCGTCCCCGCCACACATCCCAGTACACCCCTCACGCGCTTCGTGGCCCCATAGGGAGCTCCACCGAAGGCCCCAGTAGCGGCGCTTACATGCGTCTCCGCCACCCATCCCGGCACCCCCCCCGCAGCAGCATCATGTTTCGGGGACCCATAGGGAGCTCCACTGGAGGCCCCAGTGGCGGCCCTCACATGCGTTTCCGCCACCCATGTCGGCACGCCCCGCGCGTGTTTCATGTCCCCATAGGGAGCTGCGCCGAATGCCCTAGTGGCGCCCATCTCGGCACACCCCTCACACGTTCCGTAGTCCTATAGGGAGTTCCACTGAAGATGAAACCCGCAGCTGCGGTACTGACAACTGCATATGGTTGGGTTCTTCGCCAGGCTATTTTTTTGTTTGGTGTGTGTGTGTGGGTGGGTGGGTGTGGGGGGGGGCTATTTTGCATTCGTATTCCAAGGTCCACCAGTATCGCCGAGCGCGTTCCACTGCTCGCAGAGTGCCTACTCGCAAACTTCCCCGAAACACATGTCTACCCTGATGTATCTTTCTCGCAGATCCCCTGTGTCGGCTCCAGGCCACTTGCGAGCAGCCAGTTTGCGAGTAGGCACTCGGTGTATTCTACCGATCTCAAGCACTTTTAGCTGGCGACGCGTTTCGGACTCTGGGCCCTCTTCCGGGCCAAGAGGCTGCGGTGTCCCACGCGCGTGCCGTGCAGCGCGCGAGCCGGGCAGCGCGAGGTCGTCCGCTGCAGGAGGGCATGCCCGACCGAGCCCCTGCGGGCCTGGGCGCCTCTGCGCCGATCGACGCCGCGGGGGCGCGCAGGGCTCGCCGAGCGTGCGTTCTCCCGCCGCTCGCCGAGGGTCCCGCCTGGAAGAAGATCGGAGGTTGATAGACCTCCTACTCCAGATTTCGTAATACAAGGGAGGGGGTCACAACCCTCCCAGACGAGAAGTTTTAGACCCCCCAGACTATCCATCAGAGGGCGGCCCTTTGCCCAGACCCCCCCGAACCCTCCAAGACAGCTCAAAATAGACCCCCCCCCG